CAAACAACGTATAAAGTATAAAATAGTTAACTATACAATTCTTTTTTTTATTTCAAATTTCATCGACTACTACATAAAAAATAAGGATGTATTTAATAGCAGGATATTATGAAGATGTTTTTTTGCTGGAATTTTCTTTAATAATTTTTTTTTGTCATTCCTTACCAAATTAAATGAAGACACTTTTGTCCAACTATTTTTTCTCTTTGTTATTCACCTAAATTTAATTACACTCTATATTACTCTCCTAATTATGTACATCAAAAATAATATTAACGAAAAGTAATATTAAACTAATTCAGCCAAAAAAACAGGGTGTTGTTTTATATAAAAATTAAATTTTCTAGTTAAAAATAAAATGAAAATAACACAACATTCTGACCGCCTTAAAAATCAAATTATCGTACAAAAAAAGGTCACGTGATGTATTATCATATGCATGGATGTATAAGCGAACACGTGCTTGATACAACAACAACGGTTAGACGAACCAAACTCCCAAGTGTTTTTGTCCATCGAGACGTGTGTTGTGTTTGGTTGCGAACCAGTTCGGTTCGTCTTAAAAGACAGATTCTTCACTAGTTCAGGTTTCTGGTCATTGGGTCAAAAACATTGTTGATTTTTATAGTCTTGGATTCGAAATAAATGGCTGATTTATGTTTGACTTTTTCTTTTATTTCATTTTTTTTTTCTGGTCTATAATTTTGTTTCAGCTAAATCTTTTTTCAACAAAGTAATTAGATTGGACTAGATTTTCTCCCATTAATCCTCCACATAGTTAGTTAAACAAATCGTTACTTTCACTGTATAAATAAATCACATTTTAAAAACTATGGTATAGTAATAACTGTAATATAGCATGGTTCAATAATATTGATTAAAGACAAAAGTTTGACCAAAATGGTTCTGGATCTGGTAAAGTAAATTATTGACTCGTTGGAGTCAATCTCCAGAAAAGGCAAGTAGAATCTATCTCACTCCCTTATCTGTGCAAGCAGAGCCAACTATCACTTTCTTTTTTAAGAAAATTATAAAAAGCGAACTATATTTTTTTTTAAAACGAAAAATCATAATTATCAAAAGTATAACTACTGTATAAGAAATTTATAAACTATTTTTAAAAATGATAAAAATTAATTTATCTCAGTAAATAAAACAGCTATACGTATTATTATTCTAACAATTGTTTAATTAAAACATTGTTTATAATTCTAAAACAACTAATTGCGACTATATATATACAACACTTTTTACATAAACTTGTACGTAATGCATGTATAAAGTATTCTAGCCTTTCATGACTCTTCATTTTATTTTAAAATCAGTTTTTTTCATTATCTA